ATCTAAAAAAACAGAAAGGTCTATGTTAAAAAGTATTCATCAATGAATACAAATTTTTTCTATAATGATGGAAAAAATAAAACCGTATAGTTATTCTTATTCAAGATAACTATTAGCAAGAAATTAATATCTTTGTGTCTTTTCACGAAATATAAACTGAGAAAATTAAATTTTGTATCAGATGAAGTGTTCAATTATAACCAGGCATTGAAGAAAGTTTCGACAACTATCATTATCATATTTTTTGTTTAGCTGCTTAAAAATGTTTTAATACCCTGTCATACTGTGTACATAATTTCTGTGAAACTTTCAATTTCATTGGACATTACATTATTGTATATTTTAAAGTAAATAACAATATTATTATTATGTTGTTGATACCTTTATCAAATATCGTCAATTTTTCTGTAACATTTCTTTATCATATTTGTACGTTACAGTATTTCTTTACAATGACCATATTAACTTATTTGATTAAATAATTTTGCTAGGTACAGTAGCTTCAGATTCGCTTGAATGATTCTGATATACAGGGTGTCCCAAAAAGATGGGACAATCCGCAACATGCATATTCCTCATGCAGATGCAAATTGAAAAGTCCTTTACCATTTTTTTTCTGTGTAAAGAAACGGAAGCCAGTGACTTTGGTCATGCATTTCTTTACAATACTGCGCGTACGTGTGAGTTCGTTTACCTGCTAATATCTCAGAAACGAAGCTTCAGATTACAAAATGGTAAATGACTTTTCAATTTGCATCTGCATGAGGAATATGCATGTTGCGGATTGTCCCATCTTTTTGGGACACCCTGTATATTTTCACCCTACTTCCATTCTAATACATCCGAATCAGAATTAACATTGTCTTATCCGATGACTTATGAACGATACTGTACGTGCTGTTATATACGTTACAACACCCAATACATTTGCAACACATAAAATCAAACGTTCAACATTGGAACTAACATTGTTGAATTCATACTAAATTGTGACATATAAAATAATAATATGTATAATATAAAATACAATACAGCATAGGATAATATAATTTAAAATATATAATGAATTAGGTCAACGTAAATTCCCACGAAAGTACCTTTCTGATTTTACTAATTGTAAGGTAAGAAATCTCAGATCCGTTGTTCTGGCGAGTTTGATAGTTCCAGTGTCGAGAGGCACATACGACTCGTATGATACCAGTCTCTACTGTGCTGTACAGTGTTTAACGAAAGTATATAAAGTAGGTTTCAAGGGTTCGGGAGAGAAGGAAAGGCGAGTCGTGCTCCGAACAAAGTTTTCCTTTCACACGCCGAAAAGAAAGCCGTGTTCGCTTTAATATGCTCCAAATAAGCGTTTGGCATTTAAAATTAAAAACAGATCTTTCACGGTTCTCGCGCGAATGCATTATGTATGCGCGTATTTCACGATTCCAGGTTGCAAAGGTGGATTTATTACACCCAGAAATCTTACGCCTCTTCGGTATCTGCATGCGAGGTCGTATGCCGAAGGTAATTCTCGTTATGGTAATTAACGGTATGTTGCACGGGGATAGCAAGTAGGGTATCGCGTTGTTCGAAACTCATTGTCTGTACGAAAAAACTGTAATTTATCGTTGAAAGCGTTTTCTTCTTCTTTCGATTGATTGCTTGAGTGTGTTAATAACATTATCCGTGTTCGTCTGGATACACCAAATGTTTTTAAACTATATGAACTGGTAAACCGTAAATTGACAGCTGAGAAGTGAATTAATAGTTGTCTGAAAATATCAAAATTAATTATCTGAAAGTATTGGGTTAGTGCAACAGTTTTGATGGATTTTAGGCAGATAATGCGATTGCCACGATTTTGTTGAAACAATTAACAATTATTTTAATATATTATGTATCGATGTTGTTGGGTTACAGTGAATAGTTGTTCAGAACAAAAATTCACGCGATTGAGTGTGTTTTATTGTTTATAATAAAATTGAAACTCAGTTTTCGAAATCAAAATGTTTACAGTTCCGAGCAACGCGTATTGCAAATGCAATACTAATTGCCATGAATTTTTAGATTAGAAATGAATTACATAGAATCTGGATACATAGATCATAGATCCCCGTTTTCTGAGTCAGAGAAAGAAAATAAGAAATTCATATTAGGTTTATCCGACAATAAATCAAAGACTGGATGGATGGATAGTTTTATAAACTTCTTGACAATTTCAATGAACGTTTCAGCTAACTATGCGACATTTTCGTTTTAATATTTGCCTGTATTCTCTTTTTATTTGGTATTCAATAATGCGGGTTGTTTTTCAAGTTCGTGTATAAGCAATTCTGTATTTGCTGACATTGTAGCTTAAACGCAAAAATCTGAAGGATAAAAGTTTAGGTAACACAACGAAATATGTATTGGTCTGGATCTAGAAGCACTTAAAATCGTCGATACGCCAGGACACGTTAAAACTTACTTAACCCTTTCTCCCCTAATGCCTGCTATAGCTGGCATCGACGAAATGATCCATGGATACTAATGCCGATTTTATCTGCAAATGTATGTAATACTAACAAAAAAAGAAACAAAATCATTGTAGGACTCCTTATCTGTGATTTAAATGCAATTTTTCCAAAAGTAAGAAAGTGTCCAAATACATTTAGATAGTAGTGCAAGTTTCAAATTAAGAGGGTATTCCCATGGGGGGGGGGGGGGGTATTTTTAAACGAAGTTTTGAACTAAAAACTTTTGAACTAAAGATCGAAGAACTTGAAATTTTGTATGCATGTTTGCTCACATTGCAAGAAAGCATAGTAAAACTTTCATGCAATTGTCTGTTATATTAACAAAGTTATTACATGTTTCTTGCAGCGTACCGGTCTGAATGGTTGCCACGGTTCACGTTCTTGTATTTATTTTAAACAGAAAGGTCAAAAATAATCTTAATCTACACGTGTATGGTTATTTGCTGAATTAGAGTGAAGGAAAGAAAATATATTTTAACGAAATAGCAGCCGTATACAGTAATAATTAAATTTTATCATAAAACTTTATTCTTCCTCAAATAATAAACAAATGATTGCTGATATCGATATAGATTGGTTAACTCATTATTGAGAAATCATGACTGCCAGTTTGGAAAACACGGCTTTGAGAAAAACGCATTTAAATTTTTGCCTGCTGTTTCGACATAGATATGTATACAGGGTGTAAAAAAAATGTTGGAGGACCCAGAAATGGAAGACTCGCGAGGTGATTTGAAACAAGTTTTTCCTTAGTAAAAATGTTATCCGAGGCTTTGTTAATGAGATATTAATGAAAAACCCCGACCAATCAGAGCACGAGACTGCCGGCCGAGTTCTGATTGGTCGGGGTTTTTCGTTAATATCTCATTAACAAAGCCTCGGATAACATTTTTACTAAGGAAAAACTTGTTTCAAATCACCTCGCGAGTCTCGCATTTCCGAGTCATCCAACATTTTTGTTACACCCTGTATACTATGTATGTACATAGCAATATATTTATGGCAGTTTTTCTTAATCTGCTATTCCCGCTACATACACAAAGGGAGCGCTCCTCTTTCCCAAAAAATTCATCGGCAGCCGATTTTTTACATTTCTGTACCATTCTTGTTGCTTTTACCGTGTTAGACACCCATCTCTCGGATCTACCTATTCATTCTTTATCTTTTACTTGGATAATTCGATATTTAGAATATAATTTGTAAAATAGGAAAACATCGTTCATCGAACATTCAAACTGCTATGAAAGTAGTAATTTCCACGGTCCCTTTTCCACAATGTGTGTACACTACCGCTAATAAGTTTAATCGCACAACGCAAAGATTTAATGACGCAAACAATATTTTGATATTTCAATTTGTCGCTATTTCCTGATTTGATACCTTCATATCGTGTAATACACATATTCTTGCTCTAATCTCCAAATCTATTTGTTGTCTTTTAATCATAGTTTTCAATAGTAAAACAAATTTGTTACCAAACTCAAGACGCACGCAATAATTTTGTCAGTAGTGTCAGTCTGTTGTTGTTTCAATATTGAATTTAAAATATGGTTAAAGTCTCCTTAATTGTTCCTCATGCAGGTTAGAATGTATCATAACATCACGTTGGAATGTACACATTAGGTTAGGAGCAAAACACGGACAGCGTTACTCCATGTCTTCCCTTCCTTAGTACTTATTCATTACGATCGTAACATTTATTTGTAGATTCAAATATTTTTATTGTTGAAGGTATTTTCGAAGAACATGTGTTATACATAATGTGTCTCGATAATTATCGCACTGCCCCCCCCCCCCCCCCTTCTTCCTCCCCCAGTTTCAAATAATATTATGACATACAACGTAATTCGTCCTTTTCCTGTAGTTACTTTCAGTTTTATTGCATCTTGACGAATGCGATTAAACTTATGAGCGATAGTGTATTCGTTTTATCGTAAAGGTCCAAACTAGAGAGTATAAAGTTTCGTTATTATTTTGCGTGTATGCAGCTAAACGTCTTTCTAGTAAATTGGACTAAATCAAGTCTTCGTCTATTGACCGAATAATTTCTAAAACTTTCATTTAATGGTGGTTTCTGTAACGAGTACGATCGTGCCTTAGGCTTGGCGCTTCTAATAGCGTACCGCTTTCTTGAAATAATTGTAACTTTGTCATTTCATCGAATTCAGACGTAGCGTTTTAGGTACACATTTTCAAAATGTTACACTTCAAGAAAATGCAATTTAAAAAAAATTGGCATGAATAGCTTTATTGTTAGTATCCGACGAGTGGTGATTATAGTTATACTTGTTGTCAGTGGCGAAAGGGTTAAGCGTAGAAAAGAAAGAACCATCTGCGAAAGGAACACGTGTTTCTCAACGCTCAATAGCAAGAGGCCAGAAAAGTGCATCCCAAAGCTGTACGTATAATTTCACGTGTCCGTTACAGCCGGTGCACGTGGTTCGTTGGTTAAGGGGCAGGAGTAGAAATTAAAAAATGCAAAAAGACGTGTTTATTTACCCGTGTTTCACGTTGCTCAGCGCCGGTGGCTTGAAGAGGTTGAAGAGAGACTTGGTGGACGCTGACAATCTATAATGAACGAAAACGCAAACGAAAACCATGCGGTGCGTAACAGGGAGAGGACGAAACGATAGCACAATACAGTGGCGTGTCGAACGTGTTGATTTTCCGCGCGATTTACATGCTCGCCCCCGCGCGACCGGTGGCATTATGCGCTTCCGGTTGCACTTTCTCAATTCAGTTGGCTTACGAGGGAAGTTCCAGCGGGTGGCGAATGGAAGCCGACCGGGAGAGACAGTCGCCCGCTTTTGAAGATTAATGAGCTGTGAATTCAGGAAGTAAATTCGCGCTAGTGCACGTAATCGATCGTTCGTTGGCTCCGGTCAACTGTGTCGATCTGCAAGTGATGTGTCTAGTTTTAAGCTTTTTAGTCTCGACACAAAACACGGGCAAACAATTCGCTAAGAATATCCGTCGAAGGGTGATACATGTAAAACTTAATTTTTTGAATTTAACGTTTAGACTGCATGTATTTGTGTAAATTTGCAGATATTGAAGAGAAACTTGACCAAATTGAAGGGAAATGAAATGTTGTTTTCTCTTTAAATTTATACTTTATATATTAAGTAGTGTTGGAAGCTATAAAGGCATGAAGATCCTCACTGTAATGATAGGAATTAGAAGTTATACAAACCTACATTTTTTCATTGAACAAAACCTGCTTGTAGCAGAGATGCTGCTTGACATTTTCGATTGCCTTCGATAGTTTAAAACTAAAAAAGAAATACTAGGAAGCAAAAAGAGTTTTCGGAATACAAAACATTAATTCTTAATGAAGTAATAAATAAGTAATAGATGGAAATAGATTCAGATCTAATTTTTCCTTTCTTGCGTTACAATTTGTTCAAACTTAACAATCCCTATATCAAAAAGTAATTATTCGGATTGTAGGAACAAAATATTGGAATTTATTTGTATAAGAATAAATTTCCGAATTTATTAGAAAGCTTTTATCTTTTCTTTTATTTAAATGTAGAAAAATTAACACGAAATGTTTCCATGCATATAAATATTATTGAAGATAATGAAAAGTTATCGACCAAGAATACATAGAATTGAAAATAGAAACACTCCCTGACAGTGTAGCAACATTTCAAAAGATTAAGTTAATGTCCGTATTGTGTTACGTTCAACACAGCATTCGAAGATACTTTTAGTACTAAAACATATACTGATAATTTCATATTTTGTATTGCAAATTATTGTCGACTTCGAACTATTCAGATATTTACTATTCAAACTACATTTAACCAAATACATAATGGATTATTCAAACACAGATTAATAAAGTAAATGTTGCGCTTTTGTATTTATTTGGTGTGTTAACGCTAGTGAAGCAATCAAATAAATGTAGGTATTAAAATCCATAATAATTTGTGTATGAAAACATTATCTTAAGATTATGGTAAATGAAGTTATAATTACCAAGTGAAAGGTACAAAGGAATTACTCATATTTTTACACAAGGTATTAAGTTATTGAAATTGGAATAAAATCGATGTAAGGATAGAGTTAAAAAATAGTAACACTACTTGGAAGAATAATTATAATACACTACGAAATTTATGGAAATAGCACCAATAGCATATTAGGAAAACATAAGAAAATAAGGCATAGAGTGTTCTTTTAACTGTGGATACTCGTAAGGACCATCAAAGTAAGTTATTAGCGACTATTAAAAAAGCTCATTTATTATTTTTGTCTCTAATATTTCTTTGAATTATTTCAAGTTATTTTTCCTTCACAATGATGTCTTCACATATTTATATCGATATTTTACAGTACTCCCAGCATGTTGACTGACACTTCAATACTAAGAGTATCCATAGGGAGATCTTTATGAGAATAAATTTCTTCTCTTCACGAAACTGTATAACTCAATGATTCCAAGATTATTGCAATATTTAATTGTTTAAAGAATGTGATATTCTGAAAAATGAGTGTAATCACTTTCCGTATACATAGAGCGTTCAGTATTGATAAACAAGCTATAGTTATCCTTGGTATTACTAATGAAAAGGTCATGTATAATTTTACACAGAAATGTAGTGAAATTAATTATTTGGGCATAATATTATGTTCCTTGTCGTGCTTATCTGTGCTTCTTTGTGAACATTTCGGGGAAATGAACACGTTCAACAGCCACGTAACGTAAAAAGTTCAAGAAAGCAAAAAGTGTAGAAAGTGGATTGAATTCGTGTTGGTGCGTAATTAAAAAGAAAATCACGAAAGCAGGCAAATGTGCACTTACTTAAGAGTTTAAAGAGCATCGATTCTCTGTTTACCTGCTACTGACTAGCTGCGAGTTGCTTCCTTGACATTGCGGAGAATGTGTGAAGTCCCCCGTCGACGACCAACGTTTTGCCCTTCGTAAGCTGCTTTGGGGTGGGCCGTTTGATCTTGCTGTCGGTGATCTATCGAATAACAGGATTACTATGGGACGAGAAAGCTTGTTACCTGCTTTGCAGAATTGTTGCTTCATCAGGCCGACATTTGATTACGAAGCTAAAGAAAGACTTCGTTCGCCGTTGTGACATTGTAAAGATTCCTTCCATATTTTTGATACTAATGATCTTTTAGGCGTTTAGTAATGTTAAGTACTAATTTACGGTCTTTACACGTTCAGTAATATCAAGTATTTAAAAATACGTTCCTCGCATTTAAGGTTTCAGATGTAGGTATGATTAGTATACCTTTGTTTACAATTGCATTATTCAAATAACAAGAAAACAGTGTTAAAACACTATTTTGATTATCAATTAGTACTATTCGTTTTAGTAATATGTGTAGATAATTTTGTGTAACATTTAATATATAATTTTACGCACAGACATTATGATTATTGTTTAGACATTTTCGTATTTCTTGTATCTTCATATTTTCCATTGAATAATAATTTACCTATCTATTATTTCATGTATGAACTGAAAAGAGTTATGGAAGTATTATACACGATGTCCCTGCAGTACCTGAACACTTACCTAACATCTTCTTTATCTTTAATAATACTGAAAAATGTTTAACCCCTAGAAGTCTCGTATTTTTAATGTTCGTGCAGCAGTGTTGCTTAGGTCCGTTTGAACCCCTAATACTTCCTACTTCTTAAACATTATTTTCGAATGCAGTTATTAAACAATTAATACGATTCGTAGGTTTATAAGTTAGGTGGAGCTTTTAAAAAATCGGGTCCATATGACTTCCGGCACTGTCGTGTGAACATTAAGATTTAATCTGAAATGTTCCGAAAGAGGTACACACCACAAAGGAAAACTTTCTTCTGTAATCATTTTTCTTCGAATTATTCAAGGTCGCTGGCATTTTCTGTCGCAAAATATATACAATTTTACTGCATCTTGTAGTGAGTGTTAAAATGCATTCAAGCATGCCTAAGTTATGATACTGAGATGACTTTGAGTAGCAAAAAAATGATCAAATTCCAAGACAGTGTTAGAATGATATCTGTAACTTACTGTTTATGTTAACACATTCATTACCAGGCTTCACATATGTGTGACCCTTCAATTTCTGAGCCAGCATACTTTATCTGATAAAAGCAGAATATGGATTGCAATATGTACTTATATCATACAGGGTATTTCACGTAACTTGACCACCTTAAGTATATCGCTTATTTTGTCTGATAGAAAAAATATCAGGGGAGAAAAATATTCTGTTCACAGGCGCCAATACGGTGATGGGCCGAATTTTTATCTCAGGGTCATTTTTTTTTTTCGAGATTTCAAGGTCATCGAATTTTTTTTTAATGGGACTACATATTTTCACTACAATACTCTTATAGCATATAAACAAACAAATCCAACGAGGTGCAATATGTTGACCTTCACGTGACCTTTAGCGAAAAAATCATGAAATGTTTGTCAGTAAGCTTAGTACGCGTTCGGGGACGGTAAATGAAGGAATTTCAATTTCATTGAAACAGTATACCGTGTAATTGTCCCTGGTGCTTGTAAACAGACATTCGTATTCTCCTTTCATCGGCAGAAAACATGCGACAAAGGGTTCTACATGAATGTAGATCAATTACTGCAGAGCAACTTAAAAATGTACAGCAAGAATTTATTTACCGCCTCCAAAAATGTATCCAGATTCATGGTGCACATTTTGAACACCTTCTAAAATAAAGATTTAACTAAAGACTGTTCCAATGAAATTGAAATTCCTGTATTTACCGTCCCCGAACGCGTACTGAGCTTACTGACAAACATTTCATGATTCTTTCGCTAAAGGTCACGTGAAGGTCAACATATTGCACCTCGTTGGATTTGTTTTTTTATATGCTATAAGAGTATTGTAGTGAAAATATGTAGTCCCATTAAAAAAAAAATTCGATGACCTTGAAATCTCGAAAAAAAATGACCTTGAGAAAAAAAAATTCGGCCCATCACCGTATTGGCGCCTTCGAACAGAATATTTTTCTCCCCTGATATTTTTTCTATCATACAAAATAAGCGATATATTTAAGGTGGTCAAGTTACGTGAAATACCCTGTATATTATTCAGTATTTCTGTTTTATGTGTTTTTAATATCTAATGAAGAAAGAAAGAATATTCCATTCAATAGAACGATACTGGTAGTCGTGTATGACGAACGTTTTCAAAACCATGTGATGGTAGCAAACGTGTTAATAGATGCTAAACATGATGTCCATTTGTGACGATACTGTTTCTGACATAATAACAAACAAGCTCTCATTATTCGATTCATTATGTCTTGTGGAGTGGTGGGGTGCTTTCAATAAAGAATAAAGGACCAAAAATAGAAAGGTTGCATCCTTGTACTAGATGTGTTTTTTTGGTTCCCAATTATCAGCCGTCAGCTTGTGAAAGGTACACCGCATGCATGTTACATTACTCACTTGATTAGTTTCAACGGGCAACCCCCAATAGTTGGAAGGAAGCAGAAACATATAGCGTACAAATCTTTCCGAACGTTTATATAGAATTTACTGTAATAAGCGTACACCATGGTCATGTTCACCGGGTGACGCCATTTGACTTTTTTTTAAGGGAAAGCTAAAAGATGTGTACCTACGCAAACCTATCATTCCGCACGACACGATGAATCGAATAATTAATGCTTGTGCTGCTATTACGTCAGAAACAATGGAAAGAACATTGCAATCGGTGATTGCTCGGCTCGGACAATGTAATGTATCGCCACCAATCGACATCACTGTGAACATTTATAAAATTAAACAGTACGTTCACATATATAATCCTAACACTGTCTTCGAATTTGATCACCTTTTTGCTACTCAAGGTCACCTCAAGGTCATAACACAGACATGCTTGAATGCATTTCAATATCCGTTGCAAGACACAGCAGAAAAAAGTATATGCTTTCCGGCAAATAATACCGGCGACCTTGAAAAATTTGGAAAAAAACTACCGAGGTAAGAAACTCTACGTCTACCGGTCTACCGTGTGTTTCCTTCAAAACCATTTTAATTGTGTATTAAACATTGTTCCCTATCATTAAAAACAAAGGCAGATAAATCTGTAATATTAATACTATTATACATTAATATTGTTACAAAACTAATATTTTCACCAAATTAAAAAGTCATTTATTTTTTCCTGCAATTACCAAATGAAAATGTTTATAAACAGCAGACTGAAGGATAAATGTAGTCTATATACGTAAGTAGATGATAATTGCTAATTCCAATCTACTACTAATAGAAAATACTTCAGATGATACATTTATCAATGGATTCGTCATTTATTCAGCTTTAAGACGAGTTGCATTATTTGAGTCAGTTGAATGTTAGACACGATGTAGAACGTATTAAACACGGTATGCATAGTAGTAAAAATCCACTCTGCTTTGCTCTACGAATTTAAACTCGATCAAAAAGCAATAAAACAACTCGACATATAATTAAACATTGAGGAAAGATGCTCTCAATGATCGTAAAATACAATTTTGGTTTACAAAATTTCGATCTGAAGATGTGATCCTGCAAATATATCCTGGAAATATGCTCCCGCGAAAGTTCTTGTGCTTCTTGGTAAAGTGTAATAAGGTAATGGATCATTTTAAGTAAATGATTTCATTCTTTAAAATAAATTGCTAATTCTGCACAAGTATAATGCGGATTTGTTTCAGTATTTTCACGCAGAATATCGTTTGTCACTACTACAAATCTTCCTACATATGTGTAACCTTCTAATATTTCATCCCCAGAGTGAAATTTTGTAAACCGAAATTGTATTTTACGATCATTAAGAGCATCTTTCCCAAATGTTTGATGTATATTTCAAGCTGTTTTTATTGTTTGTTGATCGAGTTTAAATCCATAGAGCAAAACAGCGGATTTTTGCTTCTATACATACCGTATTTAATATCTTCTACATCGTGTCTAAGATTCATTTTACTCACATAATGCAGTTCATCTTAACACTTAGGATTTAACAATAACAATATGCCTAGTTGCACAGACATCTTTTTCTATAATATTAATTTATTTCAAGTATGTTTTATTTTTTAATAATTTCACGATTTAAAGGTAGTAGGAATAACGTCCCACCATGCGAGTTGGGTATAAAAAAAGGTAGGACATTTTTCATACCAGTGTGCTTCAAAGGGTTAAAAAATCTGAATAAATGACGAACCTATTGATACATGGAATTTGGTTTCTAGGAACATCTAAAAGTAAGATATAATGTTACAAAGAAACGATTCGGAAAAACGGCAGAACCTTCCATGGGGCCTGATATTTTAGAATTCCATTAGCCTTTCATTGGGATATTTTTGTCATCGCTTAACATGCTCAGTTCTTTTCAATTCGTACCGTCTTTTAGACTTTTTAGTATGAGCTGAACAGTTTCGATACAGTATAGTTTTCAAACAGTAGACAACTATTTTGCGAACAATACATCCGTAATCAGTTCCGTACGCACAGTAAAACTAGCGCTCTATTCACTCGGGACCCATACACGCTGGTTCTTACCGCTGAATCGGGAAACAATACCGTCATGAATTCACACCGTTACGTGCTCAATATTTCAATATTTTCTCGCGTTAGCTTCGCACTGAAAGAGAGGTTTCTCTCCATCTCGTCAACCGGGGACGAGACCCAAGAGCATTCCTCCTACTTTAGGGCTCAACCAATTACAGCTTGAACAATAATTAAGAAACACCTTTGGTGAAACTTTCGCCAATCACGAAGAAGTGTGATATCTCAAGTTACTTCGAGCGATGTCATTCGAGAAGCTATCAATTTTATTCGTACGAAAAATCACTCAGTCCCCTTCGAGACACTTAAGGTTTAACAGACGATCCATCATTCGAACAGTCTCTCGCAGTCGAACACTCGGACAAGATCTACTCGCGCTTGACATTCACGTTCATAAACTCAACTAAATAATTCGCATACAATCAGTCACTGGCGTTCGTGTGGTCTCGGTACATCCATCGTTCGCGAACGTTTCGTTCGTACATTTGAAACAGTCCAGCTCCAACAGTCGAGCAATTATTCGTAAGTAAGTATTCGTACATTCTCGATCGGACTACGTTCGTAAAGAAGTTCAAGCAGTCATACAATTACACAGGCCTAACCACTGCTTTACCTTTGAAAACAAGTGCCCAATATTAATTTGGCAGGCAATCAGTCTGAACTGTTCGTATACCACGACAGTAGAACTTAGACTTCACTAACTCGCTTAGATTCGCGTCAAAACGAAAAATTGTTATAGTGTATAAAAATTGTAAAATTCCATAAATCGCATAATCTAGCATAGTTATGCATTTTTTTCTGAAAACTAACATTTTCCTGGAGACTTGAATTTCAAATTCTTTATGGTAGATCAAGCATGCACTAACCTTCATTGACATTAAATATGATACTCAACAAGATATCCTGTTTCTTTTTTCGAAATGTAGCATTTCAGGTAAAAAGAAAACGAAAGCTAATTTTGTTAATCTCCGAAATGCTTCCATGAATAAATCGGAGATTTATATTCTGTAACAACCTTCTTCAAAACATGCACCTTTTGTGCACAATACTTGTTTATGCCACACGGGGTGTTAATAAAACCGTGGAACACGTTCACAGGGTCGATTCTACACGCCAGATAAAGACAAAATCAAGAATGACGAAATTGCGTTGGAGGTATTGTTTCTGAGCTATTACATGATTGTTAAAAATACAGGGAAAAGTACGCATAAAATACGTTTGAAGAGATGAGTTACACTATTCGGACAGCCGATTCCTAGCTATGACGCGGGCTCGATCGATGACATAGTGAAACTAATGAACGAAATAAAATAAATTGAATGAAACCAACTCGTGAAACAGTTGAAGAACGTGCCTTTCAAGTTGAATAACTTGTCGAGTCAGACGTGTTTTACGTGCATTTCGCTAGTATATTTAATAATTCTTATAGATATAGATAATACTTATAGATTTTTTTGTGCTGAATACGAACCCGTAAACAGTTTTTTTCCATCACCCTCAGTTTCCGAGAAATTTGATTTAAAAAAAAAATGCAAATTTTCAACTTTGAACATTTCCTGTGTTCAAACATTAATATCTATGCAGTTGATTGTTGTGTCAAATTATTCTGTAAACTCTCCCGAATAAAATGGTATACGTTGTTATCGCATTATCAACGTATAAACATGTTTAAATAATGATCAAAGGGAAAAGGACACCCGAAATGCACCAATTTTTACAGATATTTTTCAATTTATTTCCAAAAGTAAGGGTGCCGGACATAATCTGACTACGTCAGCAGATAAAGTAAACATTTTTCTTCCGGAAAACATTAACAGAAATTGTCAGACACGTTTTCTGTCCAATACAGGAGCGAAATGGTTTAGTAAAATCTGCGACGCTGGCAATGTTACTCAAAGGCGGCAAGCGCAGGCGTTCGATAGTCGAACCATTTTATTCGAGAAAGGTTACAGAATAATTTGACGCAACAATCAACTGAATAACTATTAATGTTTGAACACAAGAAATCTTCAAATTTGAAAGTTTGCATTTTTTGTTTATATCAAATTTCTCGGAAACTGAGGGTGATAGCAAAAAACTGTTTACGGATTCGTATTCAGCACAGAAGAATCTATAAGAATCAGCAAATGGATGTTTGAAGACAACCAAAAAGTTAAATTTTGTTGTCCAGTGATAATTAATAACTCGGAAACGAAGCCTCGAACGCATTTTCAGCAATCTTGAGTTTCGCGTTAGTTTAGCACGTAGAACCCACCCACCCTGTGAAAGTATCCCACATTTTTATTAGCACCCAGAATATAAGACAGAAGTTATTAAATCTGAGCAAGTACATTAAGTGTCTTATTATGTGCCTTTCAACTATAACATTAATTAAGAATACTGAATAGAACGTAAATTAACTTAAATCGAGGGCACATACCTGGTTACTGGCAGTGGTGTGGCTCTAGGACTTGGCGATGGCACCGGGGAAACACTACTACTACTGGGACTGTCCGAATGTAACGAACCAGTCGACTGATAATGAACTGACCTTCTGAAAGGGAAATTAACTTTACCTCGTCTGTTCCAAACATCAACCGTGTTTGTCACTCATGAACAAACTGTTGGCTTTAACTCCTTAATGCGGAGGCCGTCTACAGATGTTAGTAAAAAATATGCTTAATGTTACAACTCATTAACTGTGCATTCTAAGTAGAATGAAACTTGCCTGAGATTTAAAAAACTTTCATAGATTAAAAGAGTTAGAAATTAAGCAATGATGTAATGACGCAGAACAAGTCACGTGCTAATGAAATGTAATCATTTATATTAGGTCGTCACACATGAAATGTCGATTTTCTTAATTGGTATATTTTCTTGGAATTTTATAAATGAAAATTCTTAACAGTGGTCTTCACTTGTATGCTAAGTTAGAGCTTGATCTGTGCGTTTTATTAGGCACTATTTATTGTATCAGTAAAACAACTATAAAATGAATTAAATCAAATGATGGATTATTATACTTATACCTGAAAACTTTTATTCAGACTTAAAGATAAACGTCATATATGAACATACATAGGTATATTCTACCGTGGAACGTAAATAACTCTACTGTAACGAATAAAATTCATTGACGTTGAATAAAATATGAAGTCTCGCTACAAAAATTGGCATTTGATAGGTAATGATTGAAAAGCATTATTATATTCTTATGTAAAGTGTTGTCACGAGATCATGACATTTATTTTTATGAAAATGAATCCAAGCATGACATTATTCGGACTATTTTTAATTACGTATTTTTTGAATTGAAGTACTCACTGTTTTCTACGATCGCGTCACGTAGAACAACACAATTACACGTGGTAAATACTGTTCGGATAAAAAGTTGTACATATTTTTCGTATCATTAAAAACTGTTCGAATAACGTTGTGTTCCAACTTATTTTCAACGAAACAGTCTGAATGAGTTATTGTTAAATCTTTTGTAAAAATGTAATTACAAATAGGAACATTTTTACTGCGTATATTTAAAATATGTGTATAATACTGTTTAACACTTAAAAATTTTGTAACCTTCAATATGCGTTTCCGACAGATATTTATGAGCTGAATACGAATCTACAAACCGTTTTTCTCAGTACGTACAGTATTAGAACAAAAACAATTTTAAAAAATCTTTGCAAATTTTCAATTATGGAGATGTGTTCATACTGTTACAGTAATAGTTATTCAGCTGTTTTTGACACAAAATAATTCTCTGGATTCTCCGTAACAAAATGTGGTAATTTGTTACTATATTATAGACATTTAAGTTTGTTTAAATAATGATAAAAATGAAAGGGGCACCAAAGAAACACCAATTTTTGCTGATATGTATTTTTCAATTGATTTCAAAAGCAAAGGGTCTGGGAGAAAATCTAACCATATTATGCAATAGAGCAGACATTTCTGCTAAGGAAGGCGTTAAAGAAGCTACGAAAACATTTTAAATACTTTGTTACAGTTCTGTCAAGTTCTTCACGAGAGTCATAAAGTTTGTGACAACTCGTCAGCCGATTTCTGATTCAGTTAGATTTTAACAATATTAGTGTTCAAGTATTACTACTTATAATTTATAATTATTTCAAATAATTATTTTTAAAAGCAAATTCAAATTTAGAATTATTTTAAATAATTATAAAAATAAAATATTTTTAATGTTTTGCGGTTTTTCACAACTAAAAATATAAAGATCAGTAACAAAATAATTTTTTCCACCTGGATTAGCGTTTTGTTTCACTGTGCGCCGCCATTGCCGCTGCCGCGTGTTTTGCTGAATTATTTCGCTTCCCTATTGAAAATGTAACAAGATTTTGTAACTTTCCTTCACACTTTCCTTATCAGAAAGATCCGCTCTATCGCGTGCTATGATTGGATATTCCCCTGGACCCTTAGTTTTTGAAATATATTCAAAAATATCAGCGAAAATTGGCGCGTTTTCAGTGTTCATTTCACTTTGATAACTATTTAAACATATTTAGATGCCTATAATATAATAATAATCTACATCATTTTGTTCGGGAGAGTCCAGAGAATTATTTAGTGTCAATAGCAACTGAGTAACGATCTATTACTGTAAAAGCACAACATATTTCTAAAGTTAAAAGTTTGCAATTTTTTTCTTACATTTATTTTGCAAAAACTATACGTCCTGGGCAAAAAGGGTATACCGATTCGTATTCAGCTCATCAAGATCTATCAGAAACGCCTATTAAAGGTTACAAAATCGAAAAAAAAGTAAAAACTTATTCAGTGAGTGTAATTTATTACATTTTCTTCCGAATTATCTCGCTCAGACTCTTTATGTACTGTTATGGACTCTTGCTCAAATTCTCTGCGAGAAAAGAGTTAAGCAAATTTCATCATCAAATTGCGGATTTTATATATTTTTGGCATACTCAAGTATATAAACCACAATAAAACAGGAACCTTAACCAACATTAATGAAGTTCTTATTATTAACTGGAATTTTTTTATTGTTGGTATAACATTTTCTGGTTATATAGTTTTTCTAAAATAATGTATGAAATTGAAATTTTGTATAAATATCCAGTCTATTTATAATATATTGTTTTTTATATTTACTGAATGGTAACACTACATGATAAACTGATAGCAAAAGTGGACGCGAATATTAGTACTAAATATAGACTTGAATAGATAGTACTAACTATAGACTTGATTCGTTCATTATTATAAGAAAATTGTATAGAATTATCTTGAAAAAATCCGGCTCGCGACGTGTACTTTTGTGACCCGCAACGACTTTACGATATATTATACGAATTGAAAATATTGTTAAAATGTAATCAATTTAAAATTTTGTTTTATATAATACATAGCGAGACCTCTACCATGATTGTTCGACTAAATTGTGAAATTTTAAAATTAAAATAAATAAATGATATAAATACATATTGTGCGGCCCGCATGAATTCTATTTGTTACACAAATAGCCCGTGATTGAAATGAGTTTGACACCCCTGATGTAAAGTATTATAGATTAGGGGTCGGCAAACTTTTTTTGTAAAGCGCCAAAGAGTAAATATTTTAGCCAGTAAGAGCGTTATAGCTAAGCACTTATTATAGCGCGTACTTTGAATTTTTACAAATATGAAATTGTAAAAACTATTCTTAGCTCGCGGGCCATACAAAAAGTGGCGGCGGGCTGTAGTTTGCCAACCCCTGTTATAGATGGTTTAGATGATAAAACGGGATAAGTAATTACTCGTCGTATTAATATGTACTAGACCTACCAGTGTTGAATGTATACTAAATTAAATCGTGTAATATATCAATATATAGGATGTAACAAAAATGTTGGAGGGCCCGGAAATGGTAGACTAGTGAGGTGATTTAAAACAAGTTTTTCCTTAGCAAAAATGTTATCCGAGGCTTTCTTAACGAGATATTAACGAAAAAAACCCGACCACTCAGAGCGTGAGTCTGGCAGCCGAGCTTCGACGGCATCGTTGAGTAGGCATTGCGATTGGTAGGTAACGTTACCGCGGGAACTCGGTCAGCAGACTCGCGCTCTGTTAACAAAACCTCCGATAACATTTTTGCTAATGAAAAACTTGTTTCAAAACACCTCACGAGTCTCTCATTTCCGGGTCCTTCAACATTTTTGTTACACCCCGTACACGTACAATGCATAATATACTACCTAAGTGTAAAATGTAGGATGTGTGAAATGTAGAATTTATTATTGAAAGCATAAATGGCTATAAAAGTACCTTTATGCTATCAATAATAAATTCTAAAACAAGAAATCCGAAATTCATCATTTCGACGTGTTTGGTACTTCGAGTATTAATGTAATTCCAAAAGTGACATTATAACGTGAGATGTATAAAATTTTTGTAAGAAATTAATAATACCTTTGAGGAAGCTGTGACGAATGTGTATAACTAACCGGCCTCCGTGGACTGGCTATAGTATCCCTGACATCCTGAGAAGAACCAGACGAAGAGGAATTCCTTAGGCAAGAGCTGCTGGTTTGACGTAACCGCAAATCCTTTTGGGGAACCGCATTTTGATTACCTAGAAGCATATAAGAAGTCATTATAACCAATTATTTTTCATGATCTGACAGAAATTATGTACCACTGTACTTTGCCGAGCTGGAATGATTGTACGCAGGAAGAGTGTGAAAGGAATGCAAATCTGATTGGTTAGAGTATAATCTCCAACCCTATTGGCTCACCTTCTCTAAAGCAGGCCATACACGAGGAGACAGCCTCAGAGACGGTCGCATGTGACTCAGTAGGCAGAAAAAGAAGGAAAAGCGATTGTTTTTTTCTGCCCATTCAGTGTCACGAGACAGTCTCTGAGGTCGTCTTATCGAATATGGTGTGCCTAACGCAATTATGAAAATAATTCACACGTATTATCATTATCGGTCGAAACGGTAATATCCACAATAGGATCATACAGCACTGCGATAGATCGATAACGCGAGTGATCCGACGAACTTCAAAGTAATGCCGCATTGTCAGAGTACAACTATCCATTGGCCTGCGGGAGCGTCTCATGTGGACATACACAGGGTGCCTCAATCGGATGAGGCCATCAAAATATCTCATTTGGTTTTAATGGTATGGAAAATGTTTAAAGCGCAATTTGAATTTCTTTGATAGGGGAATACTGTGCAAGACAGAGTATTGTTTTTACGATTTTTTCCGTGATTTTTCAAGGTCATAGGAAAGCATACATTTGTTTTCTATTGTATCTTGTAGCAAATAAAAGAATGCATTCGAGTATTTCTGAATTATTACTCTCAGATGACTTTGAACACCAAAAAAGTGATCAAATTATAAAGCTAATTCCCTGAAGGAAAAAGTCTAATGTCGTCAGATCGAGTGAATGATCTGGTCCCAATATACCTACGTGCATCGCGTCTAATCTAACGATTTAGGAACTTTCTATCGAATACCTGAGTAGCTACCCGTGAATTATTAACTAGGCAATCATCATGATGGTACCACCTAGTCTCACAAACACTTAATAGCAAATTTTATATCAATTCATCCAGATTATTCCATAGAAATGTTGCGTATCTTTAACCGCTTAGTGTCCCGTTAATAAAGTAATGTAAGCATCCCAACATAAAACATTAAGTTCATATACGATCCTAATAACGGTGTCTTAGAGTTTGGTCACATTTTGGTGTTCTAGGTCAACCGAAGGTCATGACAGAGAACATGCTGGAATTAATTTTTTCATCTGCTACAAGACAATAGAAAAAAATGTATGCCTTCCTGCAAGAAAGAACGAGTGACCTGTGAAAAGAGAATGGAAGAATGACCATAAAAATATGTTTTTCCTTCCACGAAATTCCTCTTTCTAAAAAGGAGCTATTCCAAAAAGAAAGGAGATATTTCTGTGGCATCCTTCAGCTGGGCCACGCTGTATAGATCAAACAGAGTAGCCTTCTTGCCTCTCTGTCGTCTCGCAAACCAAATTTTCAGCCCTGTGCAGTACTGTATGTTACTGAGAAGATGTGCTTCGTACGAAGAGATACAGTAAATCCTCGATAAGTACTCGAAGGCTCGTCGGAACTGACAAGGAGAAGTTCCCAGGTGTAACGCTGACTTTTTAATGGGGTTTAGCACAGCGATAGAGCTTGGAATTCTAGAGCCAATGTTATTTGTTTCAGTCACATATGGCCTTTAGTTTATGAAATATTTAATGTTCAGTGTCGAGGAGCCTTCGAACATTTATCCAGGAATTACGTCCTGAGGAAATCCGTCTGCGAAGCTCCTGCGGACCATTAGTCAACACTCTGAGACGCTGCGGCATTAAGGTTGGCTTATAAGTACTAGACGCTCAGATACGGAACGGTTGAGTGACGGTTCCGTTCAGACAAAGATACTTACAAGGGAACACCGCGAATGTTGACTCACGGATTGGGATTAAACTTTGTGGGTTTATAAAGTGAATCGAGGCAAGAATATCAGTATGTTTCATTCGTACCCCATTGCCCTTTAAAAATGTGAAAACTAATCTCAAAGTCACATAGGTACTCCCACTTTTTCGCGTATAACACTTAAAGTACAAAATATAGGAAAAAATGTTTAAAACAAATGTTTAATGGTACAATCAGCGCTATAAACTTGTGCTACACAAAGTGTTTTAAAATTTTTTTACGAAATAAACTTTTTTCAAATTTTTGTTAAGGCAAGTATATAGCACCTATTGTACCATTAAACTTTTCGTTGAAACACTTGTCCCTATCTCTTGTACTTTGAGTTATACACGAAATAGTGGAAATGCTTATTTGAATTTGAACTTATTTTTCACACCTTTAAAGGGTGACTGGGCACGAATGAAACATACCGTTATTCTTGTTTGAATTCACTTTATGAACCCAGAAAGTTTCATTCCAATCTGCGAATCAGGTTTAATAAGGTTTCCACATTTATCCCTAAAAGATCTAGTCTGTATAAAATTATTATTAGATGAAGATAATAAGATAAGAAGACATTGTTATACTGTGCACAAAATGCTAAAACAGAGAAAGACCTATGGAGAGTGTTGGACACTGTTTAAAAACGAGTGAATGAGGAAGAAAAGTTCTTTCAATATTTCAGGATGTCTGTGCATGATTTTATTATACCTTTAGGAAAACCAGAAAATTCAGAAAACAGAAATAGGAAAATAGAAAATTCAAAAACCAGTATACAACTTTCAAGGACGCTATAAGTCCGAGAGTAAAAGTGGCACCGACACGTTTCGAACATGTTCCGCATCCGAGAAAACATTTTTCAGAACGCCGATTTAGGAGTTCAAAAGCTTAATTTGGGTGTAAAAATGGAAATTGCAAAACCAAACTTGGTAAGCATATATTTAATATCCATATTTAGTAAAAGAATACAAAATTAATAAATAATGTTCTTTAATAATACTTTTTGACAAACAAAATAAAAAAAAAATTTTTCTGACGAAGTTATCATTGCGAGTTACAAGTTCTCTTGTATAATTCTCAAAAATTAATAGACTTCTTTCAAAATTTTTCTTCTGGATAACTAAATTCCGGATATTAAACAATTAGAGAATGTTAGTAATTTATGGAACAAATCAGTAATTGTTTCAGTTGAGGACAATTTTTTAGAAATTTATCTGAACATTAGATGTATTCACCATGTTTTGTATCTGCTGCCATCCCTATCGGCGACGTGACAACAGACCTCAAAGTTACAGATGTGAAATAAGCTTGGTTGAATATCGCGGCAAGTATTGGAAATATAAAAACAATTTAAATGGCAAAAGTGTGTTTTTTGTTATAGGGTATTCAAATATACTATTAAATTTCAGAAAAATTCATGTTTAAATAATACATTAAAAATTCTGCTTTTCTGTTCATTTTTAGGGTGAACAACTGAATTCTGTTAAAGTCTAATAATATATCTGAATACCTTATAACAAAACACAATACTGTCTTTGAAATCGTTTTTGTATCTCTAATAGTTTCCGAGATATTCAACCAAGCTTGTTTCATACCCGTAACTTTGAGGTCTGTTTTCACTCCTTCAATATGGATGATAGCAGATACAACAAAATACGTGTCAAATATTTTGATGAAAACCACTTTGTAACAAAATTTCATACGAATCAATGATTGTTACTTCGGTATGATATTACTTGCTAGACTGATAGAACTAATCGTAATTCAATAAATTAGAGTTAAAGTAACAATTAAATCACAAATAAAGTCCGGCAATAACCGGCATCAATAGTTATTTACCGCTAAACCTCATTTCTGCAAAACATTTGCAAATAGTCTTTTTTTGTCAGTATAATTTTCAATTTTGAAGCTATGTTGAACATGGTGAATACATCTAATGTTCATACAAATTTATGAAAAATTGTCGTCATTGAAACAATTACTGATTTGTTCCATAAATGATCAGCATTCTCTAATTGTTTATCCGCAATATCGTTATCCAGAAGAAAAATTTTGAAAGAAGTCCATTAATTTTCGAGGTTGATATAAGAGAACTTGTAACTGAGCATAACTCCGTTGAAAAAATTTTTTTTATTTTGTTTATAAGAAAATTATTATTAAAAAACATTGCTTATTAATTTTGTATTCTTTTAATAAATATGGATATTAAATATATGTTTACCAAGTTTGGTTTTGAAATTCACATTTTTACACCCAAATTGAGCTTCTGAACTCCTAAATCGGCATTCTGTGCCACTGTGATACCGGACCGATGCAGACACGTGGCTGTGCTGATACGATACGGTATGTATAAACACCTATGTATATTAAAATGCATTAAAGAATATCTATTACAACGGAACCGCTCCGTCACCGGTCCGTATCTGAACGTACACTGTAAACCAACCTTCACTTTGAAGTCGGATTACTCGCGTTATCGCTCTATCTTACTGACCAGTCTCGATGTGTCTTGTTCGTTCCCTTTGTTTCCGATTGTGACTGTGCGATTCGTTCTCTATCTCTATGAATATTCTCGAGAAGGTAGGCCTATAGGGATATAACCAATCGGACACGCATTCCTTCCGTTTACCACTTTCTGAACAACGCGTAGTACAGTACATATTATAGCATCTAATAGGTGTCTGCAATAATAATGCCCTTTTTCCACCCAAAATCTTTTATTGAATTGTAAGGAGTTTGTTACGTGATATATATACATATAAATTCCGCGATACAGCAATAAACTAAAACTGAACTAAAGACTAACTAAAGACTAACTAAGGAATAACTAATGACTAAACTAAAAGACGGTCCGTAAAACTAAAACCACTCTCGCGAGCCACGCACAGCCATATCCCGTATACCCGGTTCACGCAAGACGCACGACGCACGACGCACGACACTCTCCGCAGCGCCTCATGCGGCACGATTAGGGTACAAACATAAAGGCTGCTTACAGCTCGGCCATCCTGACCTCATGGTTGGCTCGACCATGCACACTATCTGAAATCACAGACTCAGTCTCGGAATCGAGATCAACGCATTTAATCCATGGCTTCATTCTATCGGGATTAAAGGTTCCAGTAAAAGGCTTATT